AGAACAGGTCTTTCACCTCCTTGGTTACATTTTATCTTTTTGGTGCAACTGTAAATAGAATTGGCTTTCTTAATTTCTCTTTCTGCTACTTTGTTGTTAGTGTATAGAAATACAAGAGATTTCTGTATATTAATTTTGTATCCTGCAACTTTACTGAATTCATTTATTCTAACAGTTTTTTGATCGAGTCTTTATGGTTTTCTATGTATAGTATTAGGTCATCTGCAAGTAGTGACAGTTTAACTTCTTCCTTACCAGTTTGGATACCTTTTATTTCTTTTCCTTGTCTGATTGCTTCAGCTCTGACTTCCATTACTATGTTGAATAAGAGTGGTCATAGTGGACATCCTTGTATTGTTTCTGGATCTTAGAGGAAAATCTTGATTTTGGGTTTTCCTATAGGGCCTTTATTAGGTTAAAGCATGTCCTATCTAAACCCACTTTGCTGACAGTATTATTGTAAACAGATATTGAATTCTGTCAAAAGCTTTTTATGCATCTATTGAGATGATCATATGGGTTTTGCCCTTTCTCTTGTTCATGTGATTTATAATGTTGATTGATTGAAAATACTGAACCACTCTTACAACCTTGGAATAAATCCCACCTAATTGTAGTGAATGATCCTTTTAATGGATTGTTGAATGTGGTTTGCTAATATTTTGTTGAGAATTTTTGCATCCATGTTCTTCAGGGATATTGGCCTGTAGTTCTCTCTTTTTTTTGTAGTATCTTTGGTTTTGGTATCCATGCAGTGCTGGTCTCATAGAATGCACTTGGAAGCTTTCCTTCTTCTATTCTTTTGTAATAGTTTGGGGAGACTAGCTCTTAACTCTTCCTTATTTATTTATTTTATTTTTTTAAAGATTTTATTTATTTATTTGACAGAGAGAGAGACAGCAAGAGAGGGAACACAAGCAGGGGGAGTGGGAGAGGGAGAAGCAGGCTTCCTGCTGAGCAAGGAGCCAGACGTGGGACTTGATCTCAGGACCCTGGGATCATGACCTGAGCCGAAGGCAGATGCTTAACAACTGAGCCACCCAGGCATCCCTTAACTCTTCTTTAAATGTTGGGTAGGATTCACCTGTGAAGTCTTCTGGTCCTACCTTTTTGTTTGTTGGGGTTTTTGGATTACTGCTTTAATGTTGTTACTCGTTTTAAGTTCAGATTTTCTATTTCTTCCTGATTTTGTTTGTCTATTTCTATTTCTTCCTGATGGCATATTTCTAAAAATGTATCCATTTCTTTATATGCCAACAAAGTGGACAATCTACAAACTTTGTATTTTGTTGGTGTTAGTTGTTACTTCCCTTTCATTTCTGATTTTAATTATTTGGATATTGGATCCTCTTTTTTTCTTCATGAGTCTTGCTAGAGGTTTATTTTTTCAAAAAAACAATTCTTACTTTCATTGATCTTTTGTATTATTATTTTTTTGGTCTCTCATTTATTTCCTCTCTGATTTTTATTCTTTCCTTCCTTCTAACTTTGGGCTTTGTTGTTCTTATTCTAGTTTTGTTGGGTGTAAGGTTAGATTGAGATTTTTCTTGTTTCTTGAAGTAGGCCTGTGCCACTAAAAATTTCTTTCTTAGAACTGATTTTGCTGCTTCCCAAAGATTTTGGATTGTTGCATTTTCTTTTGTCTCCATGATTTTTTTTTTTCTAGTTTTATTCTTGTAATTGATTTGTAGTTTCATACCATTGTGGTTGAAAAACATGCTTGATAGGATTTCAATCTTAAATGTATTGAGCCTTGTTTTGTGGCCTAAGTTGTGCTCTATCCTGGGGAATATTTCATGTGCATGGGAAAAGAATGTATTCTGCTGCTTTGGGATGGAATGGTCTGTATATCCATCTAATCTAACGTGTCTTTCAAAGACACGGTTTCATATTGATTTTTCTGCCTGGATGATCTGTCCATTGATGTAAGTGGAGTGTTAATGTCCTCTACTATTATTGTATGACTGTCCATTTCTCCCTTTATGTCTGTTCATACTTGCTTGATATATTTAGATGCTCTCATGTTGGGTGGATCAGTATTTACAACGGTTAGATCCTCTTATTGAATTGATCCCTTTATCATTATGCAATGCTTGTTTGTCTTCATTACAGGCTTTTTAAGTCTATTTTATCTGATATAAGTATTCTTACTGCAGCATTCATTTATTTATTTGCTTTGCACTTCCTTTTGCATGGAATGTCTTTTTCCATTTTTTCACTTTCAGTCTGAAGTTTGCCTCTTGTAAGCAGCATGCAGATAGGTCTTTTTTCTTTTTTATCCACTCCATTCTGTGTCTTTGGAGCATTTAGACCATTTACAGTTAAAGTTACTATTGATAGGTGTGTACTTATTACCATTTTGTTAATTGTTTTCTGGTTGTTTCTGTAGTGTTATGTTTGGCCTTTTTGTCTTTATTTTTTTGTGTATCTTTTATAGTTTTTAGGTTTGTGGTTACCATGAGGTTCATATATAATATTACTACTTATAGGCTATATTAAGTTGATGGTGACTTAAGTTCAAACACATTCTAAAAGAACTTGATTTTTACCCCCTTCCTGCCCCTTTGTGTATATGTTGTCATATTTTACATTATTTCGATATAGTTGATTTTACTACTTTTGTCTCTCAATCTTCATACTAGCCTTATAAGTCACTGCTCTATTACCTTTACTGTATGTTTGCTTTTACTAATGATTTTTTTTCCTTTCATAATTTTCTTCTAATTATGGTCTTTTCTTTTCAACTTAAAGAATTCCCTTTAACATTTTTTTTTTTTTCTTTTTCTAGTAAGGCCAGTTTAATAGTGATGAACTCCATTATTTTGATGGTCTGGGAAACTCTCTCTCTCGCAAATCTGAGATGGGTAGTGTATTCTTGGTTGTAGGTTTTTTCCTTTTGGCACTTTGAACGTATCATGCTACTCCTTTGTGATTGCAAAGTTTCTGCTTAAAAATCAGCTTATATAGCCTTATGGGGTTTCCCTCGTACATAACTAGGAGCTTTTCTCTGGCTTTTGAAATTTTCTCTTTCTCTTTAATCTTTGACATTTTAAATATTATGAGTCATGGGTTTATCTTGTTTGGAACTTTTTGGGTTTCCTAAATCTGGATGTCTACTTCCTTCTCTGGGTTAGGGAAGTTTTGAGTTATTATTTCTGCAAATATGTTGTCTGCCTTTTTTCCCTCTCTCTTCTACTTCTGGGACCTAGATAATGGGAAGATTGTTTGATATTTTCCAAGAGTTTTTTTTTTTTTTTCCCTGTTCACTTGGGGTACTTTCCATTACTCTCTCTTCTAGATCTCTGATCCATTCTTCTACTCTGACTCATTTTTTTTTTTTTTTTAAGTTTTGTGTTGTTCTTTCATTTGGAGCGTATTCCTCTCTCTCCTCATTTTGTTTGACTTGCTTTGTTTCTATAAGCAGAACAGCTACTTCTCCTCCACTTGAAGGAATGATCTTGTGTATGGTCAGCCCTGTGTAGACTATGTGGCCTGGTGACTGTGGCTGGCTGTACAGAGCTGTAGCTACCCTGGGCTTGGGGGCATGGAGCCATCCTGGTAGGACGGCCAGAGCAAAGTGGGCATGGGTGGGGGCAGTCCCAGGGATCTCCACAGAGAAGATACCTGGCAGGACAGCTGAAGTGGGCATGAGTTGGGGTGGTCCTGGGGCTCCCCAAGAAGGGGGCATCTTGGCAGGACACCTAGAGCCAAGGTGGGTAGGGGACAGGGGTTATTCTGGCAAGTCATCTAGAACCAAAGTAGAGCATGCCTGGAGTACTCTGGGGTGCTCTGCACCTGTTTTACTTTGGTGAGATGGCTGGAGCCATCATACCCTGGTGTGTGCCATGCTGGGGCCTGGGCTCACTGAGGTGGCAAGCCAGCTAGGGTGCCCGGGCTCTGCTCTCCTCTGCACTATCAGGGTGGGGGGGAAACATAAGTAGGGGTGCTCACCAGCCCCTCAGACCTATAGAGAGTTCCAGCAGCTCTCCCGCCATTTGGCAGGGTTCTAGGGCTGGTTCCTTTATTTGAAGTTGCCCTTTTAAGCCACAGTTTTTTTTTCCTGTGCCCAGGGCAGATGCATCTGTTCACAGTCCCCCTGTACTATGCCTCCCCACTGCAGTTCATGCATTGGGGGTGGGGCTCCCCTGTGTCCCCAACCCTCTCACCTCCATCTCCCCTGACTTTCTGTATGGGGTCCCTTTCTATCTTTTGCTGTGCAGAAGCCCTTCAGTCAGCCCTCAGATTCCCATTATTACTAATGTTTTTTTTTTTTTTTTTTTTTACATGAAGCTACTGCCCTTCTCGTGAAGCCACATCTCTGCCTGGAATGTTCTGTCCTTGCTCTGTACGTCTAATACCCCTTCTTCCTTTAGGGCCCGGCTACAGTCTTGCCTTATTCAAAAGCCTCCCCAGACAAACTGAGCCCTCTTCGGAACTCTGTGGTTTATAATGATCCTGCTACTCCTTGTCACTCAGGCATGGCAGGATGGTGTATTTGTTTTTCTTTTCCTTGAGGAGCTTACAGTCTATCTTAGACCTGGAAGTATTTAGTTGTAGATGACTATAATATTATTACACAGAAGCCCTGCAAAGCATTCACATTTCATTTAGATATAACAGTTGTTAATATGTCCTCTTATTTCCATAAATAGTTGACCCCAGGTATTTTTATAACACTATTCTCTCCCTGCTTCATTGCTGGCTAAGTGACGAGGCTCGAAGACCTCACAGAAAGACACAGGATTATTCCACATTCTCATATATGTATAAAGATTTAGCAATGATGAGGCCCAAAGTGGATGTTGAGTTTCTTTTGCCCTCATTGGACCCGTTTTCGAGTTTGATTTATGAACTCCTGGTGGCTAGCATAACTAACGGCAGTGTTGGAACAAGACATGGTGAGATGTGCTTTAAGACGGCCTGAGTAAAGGGGTAAAGGCACGAGTCTGCAGTTGTCTGCTGGTCTATTTTTATCAGTGGTTCTATGTCAATGTCCATACCTGCCAGTCAGAAGTTCATACATGAGGATTCCTAGTGACCAGTAGTCGGCGGAAATGTCATGGCCTTTGTTCAGGATGATCTCTGGAGCTACGTACTCTGGAGTCCCACAAAAAGTCCATGTTTTCTTTCCAAATCCTATTTTCTTTGCAAAGCCAAAATCGACCTTACAAAGACAAAAACAAGTTATTTCAATGACCCTTACATTAGGCTTAAAAGCAGTTAAGTTACTGAGCTGTGGTGCACTTATAACACAATAAAAACAGATGCCCATTACTGTAGTCCTATGGTCTAGAAGGAGTTTCTCTACTTCAAACCATACCAGCCTCCCTGATCAAACTCAGGTTCAATAGGGAAAGTTGAAACCTGAGTACAGGAGGAAACTGACATCATTACAAATAAAGGCAAATCTTTCTTTCCAGAAATATTTTCCATCTTTTCTTCCTTTCATACCAAGGGAGGTTAGGCCAGAACTCCTTTACTGAAAATGTTTACAAGACCAGTTGGACCTCCTTGACAGATTTTCCAGAATATGCATGATTTCTGCTGGCTTGAGGAGGTTGACAATCCATTTAGTATTGAGAAGCCACTTCGCTGCTGAAGGAGCTCAGTCACAAAGTTCATCCCCGCCCTTGGTAAACACAAACAGGGATAAAATGCAAATGTGTTCTTTGTTTTTCTAGAAACCTTTTGATGGAGGAACATCAAATGCTGAAAATGTATTTTTTCTAAAACAATTTGGTTGAGAATCTAAATCATTAACTGCCTTGATTTGATTTCTTTGAACACCGTATGCTGAATAGAAATCCAAAAGTTTAAAAAAAAATAGGCACTGGCACATGCAAAGGCCATAAAAATTGTACATTTTATAATAAGAGAACTTCCCTCCTACAGTTAAGTCTTTAGAGTGCTTGACTCATTTTATTATTATTATGATCACTACTATTATAATTAAAATGACCTGGATAATATCACCTACCAAGCCCATTCCCCCCT